CCGTGTACCTAGGCGGACTCGTGGTGGTCAAGGAGAACACGGCGCCGCCAAAGAAGTGCCGCGAGGGCCGCGGCAACTACATGCTTGACGCCGAGAACGCGGCGGTGCTGCGGACGCACGCCCACCACATGGCCCTCTTCCGGCGAGCTGGGTACCGTGTGGTCAAGTCCACCCGACAGGCCGACTTCCCGAGCGACATCTACCCCGTGCGCATGTACTTGCTCGCGCCACGAGTGAGCGCCACGTGACGGTGAGGCGGGGCAAGACCGCACGAAGAGAGCGCATCCCGCGCGCAAAAAACCGAAACCGTGCGTGTGTGTCTGTTACTATGTGTGCCTCTGTCCACGGAGCACGGTCTGAAGAAATCGACGCCAAAGATGGTTTAACGGTCTCGATAGTGCGAGGGTTGGCTGTCCCACCGGTTGATACAGAATGCGAAAAGGTAACTGAGATAGAAAATTCCTGTGAACAGTCAGACGAGAATCAACTATCAAGACAGCAGACTAGGTCCAGCCCTGGGTGGCGCAAGATCTGAGGTTTTGTGACAATCCTCACATCCGTGTTTTTCTCGTTGTTTTGTCGCTCGCTCCGCTCGCCACCTCACGCTCCGTAGCCCGGCCATGGCCAGTACCCCGCGTCTCAGTGAGACGCGTGGTACCATCCAACTCCGGTCGACGGGCTCGAATGCGCTCAGCCTCAGGAGGGACAAAACCGCGCGAATTCTGCACGCCTCGCTGCACCGCTGGCTTGACTGAATCAGGCAGCAGCAGGCTGCTGCTGCTGCCACAGCAGCAGTCTGCTGCGGCCCTAATACGCAAGTTGATGACTAGCAGCACTGCCGGGGGCATTCGAGCCGCCACAGCCGGTGTGCTGTGCACTGCCACCTGCCCGCGGCTACGCACAATGTGCGCTCGCATTGGATGAGCCCTGCTGATGGACCTGCATCGCCTAGCTGCACGAGAGCAATGCCGCAGGCAGTGGCCGTGGCATACACTGCGAGCACACTTGGTGCAGCTGCGAGGTGCAGCAAGAGCACGTCGTTCCTGCCTCTGATGCCACTCTCGCGGCTTGCAGCGCGTCACTCGCGCATGCTCTCCAGGAGCTATGGCGGGCGCGTGTGTGGGGCTGTAGCCTGTGTTTGGCCGGTTCTGACCCGTTTACTATCAGTATCATGTCCGGGCCACAAAAAATCGCACACGGGTAGCGGCTCAGGGGCCCAGTAAGTCGCGGAATCGCCAAATGTCACAACCTGCGCCACCCAGGGCTGGACCTAGTCAGCACAACACATACACACGCGCTCAGGACTCAGCGCAGAGGACGCATCCAAACCGCCGCATTTCGCCCGCCGAAAAGTCTCCCACTCGCGCCCTCCCCAAACAATCGTCTCACTAGTTACATACATACCCTACTGTATACCCGTTCCCCGCCGTCGTTTTTTCTCTACGATTCGGATTCCGCGTGTGACGGTCGCGCGTGCCAGCTAGCGTTCTACCCACAAGGAAGAGAGACTCACACACTGACTAGGAGTTGGGACTCGCGCTTATTATAGACGGTGCCGCACAGATTGATACGTCCACATCGACCGTGCAGAGCTTGGGCTCTTTGCGCGGCTCCCAAGGCTCGGCAAGCCAACAGCGTTGACCAGCGCCAGCCATGTCCGGCTTCCCCGTTGGCACGCACAGTCAGCAGCCTGACGCGGAGAAGGGCGGGCTGCGTGAGAGGGCGGCCGCGCGGGGTCGCGGGCACGGGCGCGCGGGCGTCTCTCCGTCTCATCAGATCAAGTGTAGTTTTTGGC